ATGCACGGGCACGGCCTTTTCAACTGGTGGGGATTTTCTCCCGCTTTGAATTTCTTGAATTACATCAATGGTAAGTTACAATAATACAACTTGTTCTGTCAATCTCTTTTCCATGTGTACAGTACGACGGTAGGTACAAGTGAAAAATGGGGAAGGCGTCTGTATCAGAGTGACAGGCAGATAAATCGAGATAGATAGATACATACATACATAGAGAGAGAGAGAGAGAGAGAGAGAGAGAGAGAGAGGAGAGAGAGAGAGAGAGAGAGAGAGAGAGAGAGAGAGAGAGAGAGAGAGAGAGAGAGAGAGAGAAGAGAGAGAGAGAGAGAGAGAGAGAGAGAGAGAGAGAGAGAGAGAGAGAGAGAGAGAGAGAGAGAGAGAGAGAGAGAGAGAGAGAGAGATTTATCTCCTGTTGAGAGACGTAAGACCTTACTAACAAGTTTTAATCTGGCGCAGATGGCAATAAAAGGGCAGACTTGGTGCAAGTACTTGTCGTGGGGGCTGGGGACATTCGCCACCTTCTCATGACTCTTGCCGACGTTACCAACAGGCCCGGAGCAAGACTCACGGTGAGTTTTAGAAGTCTTGATTTTCCTCAAGGAATGTACAATAACAATTTAAATAAACACACACACACATATAATATATGTGTATGTGTGTCTGTTTGCGCACACACACACACACACACACACACATATATACATACGCATAAATACGTGTGTATACACAGACCTACCTTTGATATATATCAATATCAGTCAATCTCTCTCTATCAATCACCATATGATATCTGTCTCTTATTTGCCTGTCTACTTATCTATCTATATACCGTATCTACGAGCAAAATACACGAACAAATCACAGCACAGTTTAAGTGTGTATGTTTTTTTTTCTTTTTGTTGCATTCTTATCATTATCACTCTTGCCAAGGTGTACGTTCTGGAGGCCCAGGTGGAGCTCTACGCCCGGCTTCTTGTGCTCCTCGGGGCTTGCCTGGAGCCCGGCTTTGGTTTGAGGGAGAGGGCGAACCTCCTCCTCGACCTCTGGGGGAATCTGTGCCTCAGACCAGTCACTAAGGATTACCTTGAAGTAGTTTCTCGAAGATTTTGCCTGTAAGTATCTAGACTGATTACCATGATCATTGTTTATCCAATATTTGAAGAATGGTAGAACACACTACCGTATTGGTATTATGGTAGGAAAACAGCAGTTTCGAATTCTTACAAGAGGATTTCGAAAATTGTCTTATTTTAAATCCTGTTTGTGCATTGTGGGTTTTTCTTCTATCTTATATATGTTAATGTGACATCTGTTTTGACATGCATGCTGTATAGAGTAACTGAGCAATGTTGTTAAGGACATTTGCCGATCTTTCTGTCTGCTCATTCCGTCTCCTTTATTTCTCTCTCTCTCTCTCTCTCTCTCTCTCTCTCTCTCTCTCTCTCTCTCTCTCTATATATATATATATATATATATATATATATATATGTATGTATGTACACATACATATATGCATATATTTATCTATAGGCAATGTATTGCTTATGCAAATGAAATGCTCTTTATTTTCTTCGAGTAATGTACATAAAACTCATAGCTGTCATTTTCATATTGCCTTTTACTTTCCTTTCTCGCTTCATTATTTTTTGGTTATTTTGCTTCTAAATCTTATTTATTCTTACATGAAGCTTCTTAATATCCTTACCTCTGATTCTAAATTGCATTTCTCCTTGTGAAACTTCTTTTTGTTTTTTAAATTCCGTGCTTCTGAATTTAATTGATCATTTTCCCCTCTTTCACGTCTTCCAAATTCCTCCTTCAGGTGGGTCACGGACGCAGCACGGTACCCTTCCCTCCTTGGCATCGTCTCGTGTTCCCGTCTGAAGTACCGAGAGAGAGACGCCCTGGATGCAGTGTTTAGGTCGTGGTATACACTCTCCCACCGTGATTACGACCCACCCCGCGCCTGGTGAGTTCGTGAGGGCAAGAACTCACTCTGAAGGGAGCTGCACTAGTCTCCGTGGGGTTGTGTCCCGTGGTGGTTTTGTATTGGTGAACTGCCATTTTCAAAAGATATTTGGCAAAACATGTTCGAGGAAATTGATAAAGTGTATGCCAAGAGATAGACTCTTAACCAAAAGAAACCAAATGAAAATATCGGTTTTGTTGGCACTACGTACCGCGACCTCCTCTTAAGAAACGCCCATTTTCCTTCCTTCCTCCTCCAGGGACGTGAGACTTCGGCAACTCTTCAAGACGAGATACGATTACCGACAGGCGGATGCGGAATGGGCGTGGCACATGCGCATGACCTATCGCCTTCGGGAACTGCCGGGCGTGGTCGGGGGTGAAAGAGACGGGCGTGCGGAGGGCGAGGACGAGGGGAAAGTCAGTGACAATCAGGACGGGTATGTGGGCGTGGGGGCGGGATGGGGAGAGGAGTTCTTGGAGTGGAGGATGTGCGGCCACGCCTTCGTGACCGCCACCGATTCCAGACCCATCTTGGCCAACACCACTCTGGCGTCAGGTGAGGGGTATGCGTATATAAAGTATATATAAATGAAGACACACAAATATATATATATATATATATATATATATATATATATATATATATATATATAATATATATTATATAATTTTGTATTTATGTTACACACACATTTATGAATAAATTTGTATGTCTACTAAAATCGCGCATATCCACAGTGGCAACGGTGCACGACGGCTGCAGCCGGCACCGGCGCGTCGGTTACTGGGGAGACGTCCTGAGCGGCCCCTTCCCCGCCCTGGCCCTCGCCTCCGCCTCCCCTTCGGTCACCAAGAAGGAGAACGGGAAAAGCAAATGTGTCAGTGCTTGTATTGTCTCGCAAAATTTCCTTAGGGGACACCCACAATTTTCATCATTATCACGAGCGTACAAATCGTACGCGGGGGGGGGGGGGGGTTAAGACCAGGCGTACACTTTTTTGAATGTGAAAAAATCTGTCAGTGGGCGAATCGACGGCCGCTATGGTTGACATTTCGCGCCACGTGTTGCTAGCAGGGCTGGCCGCTTTTCCACAGAAGCATTTCTGCTATTTTCTAAACAATAGATGATTAAGAAAATGGGTGTAAATATTAATATTGAGCCATACACTATCATAAACGGATGAATATTAGATTACAGTTACAGTGCGTAGGGTCAGTCTGATGGTTATAGGATTCCCTGGTCACTTTCTTGTTTATTGCACTGCATAAAACAATATACAATAAGTACATTATTAAGACAATAATGTAGCAACATACAACAGCATAAAATGCACCCACATCTCTTTATAGAAATTGTATTAGTTTAACAAGAAAATGCGACACTGACATATCTTTAAAGAAAACGTATTAGTTTAACAAGAAAATGCGACAGTGAACCTGTTACTTGATTTATCTAAAACGTATACGACTATTCATGGGGTGTGTGTTGCAGGGCTGAAGGTTCAGTCACTCTATGGGACTGTGGCTCTGCCTTTGGTGATGCCCAGCTGGAAAACCCAGCTGAAGTGACATCGGATGAAATTTCCGCCGCGATGACATTCGGTCAGCCACATCATGTCAGTTCATACCAGGATGGTTTCAACAGTTTTTTATGTTTAATTTATTTCAACTTGGGAAAATATATCAATATTGTTTTAAACACTTTCCATTTGCATCAAACTATCTGTAGTCATAAAAAAACAAAATTCAGCATATGGAAAAAAAATCCGTAGGCTCTTCGTATTGTCCTGTCACCAGACTCTTGATTTTAATTAAGTGAAAAAGCAATATAACAAGGTTTTACTTTAAATTCATAAAATTTTCTTAGAATCACAAAATAAGAATCCACATACTGATAGGGAGAACTTGATCCATCATTTTTCACACGCTAACGTACACTTTTAGTTGGGGGGGGGGGGTGCTCAAAAGTCTACGCTTTGTAGACGTGATAATAATGAAAATTATGGATGACTCCTTACATCCTCTTTTTTTTCTGTTTCTTTTTGAACAGGCGATTTTGGTAAATAGATTATCCTTCTTTTCTCTCAACTGTATACTCACTTTCATGATTATTTTACAGAATGGAACGCAGATTGCCCAGTGGAACTTGGAGAACTTACTGGGAAATTTGTGGAAAAGGTCGGCGTGTAAGTCGAGCAGTGACTCGAGTGAAGCGACTAGTGATTCAAGCAGTGAAGCAGGCAGTAAATCAAGCGACGCTTCCGCCAGCCGCAGCAGTGCCACTAGTGATGAAGCGGAATCTAAATCAGATGACGAACAGGACAATGAATCGAATGGAAGCGGGTCGATTAACGAAAGGAGGGATGGTTCCCGGGATGGATCAAAAAGTGGATCCAGTGATGGAACCAGCGGTGAATGGAGTCGATCGGGCGAGGAATCAAGTGGAACCGAAACTGGATCAGGCGATGGGACGGGTACAGGATCAAGTGGAACAAGCAGTGGTTCCAGTGGTGAAACGGGTACGGGATCAGGCGAAGGAGAGAAAACGGAGGCGAGTGGTGATGGATCGAAGAGCGATTCGAATCACTCATCGAGCGATATATCGAGTAACAGTTTGAATGATGACTCAGTTAGTGGTTCAGATAATTGTTCAGGGAATGATTCGAGCAAAGGGTCAATTAACGAATCAAAGGCTGAGTCACAAGACAACCAACACGGCAAGGAAAATGAATGGAAAGGTAAAAAAGATGAAGGGAAGATGACGAAAAATCATAATGAAGTGGAAGAGGGAAAAGAAAAAGCGGAAAGAACGAAAGAAAACATTCAGCAGGACAGCAAGGGCAAAGAGACCCAAAATGAGATACGTGAGGAAGTGCATGAATTTAATGAACAACATGAATCAAGACCAGATCCTTCCGGCCGGGCCAAGAAGTTATCCAGTTCGTCGCAGTCTTCAACAAAGGACGAGGAACACAGGACTGCCGAGAACTACCTGAGAGTGGAGGGCGTGGAGGTGGTTCTGCTGTCTCCAACACGCCTAAATGACCTCAGCACATTATCAGAGGTGAGAATGAAAGTTCTGAAGAGCAGTTCAAATGATAAATTGGTACATAGGGATACGTGGCGACAGACCTCAGCTCTCTCTCGAAAAAAAAAAAAAAACCAAAATATATATATATATATATATATATATATATATATATATATATATATATATATATATATATATATACATACACATATATACATACAGAGCGTGTGTGTGTGTATAGATTAGAAAATAGGTAAATAATAAAAAAATACAGCTATGTCTATAGTTCTCTCTCTCTCTCTATCCACATCTACATATCAATACCTATATATATATTCGTCTATCTGTCTACCTATCTATACACATATATACGTATACATGAATACATATCTCTCTCTCTCTCTCTCTCTCTCTCTCTCTCTCTCTCTCTCTCTCTCTCTCTCTCTCCCTAACTACCTACCTATCTATCTATCTCGCTAATGGCAATTTTTTACCCTTGGTAGATTCAAGGAGGACTGGACATGGTGTACCTCTCAGTCGCGACGGCGCACCTCCTCACGCCCTCGCTCGCCCACGCCCACATTCTCCCTGAAACGACTCTCCTTTTGGAAACGGCCAGGTAATTCTCTTCGAAAATGGCTTCAGCGATTTCTTCTTCCTTTTTCTTCGTCTTTTCATGGATTTGATAGGAAGTACTGTATGTGCCTTTCCTTTCTGATAGTTTTGTGCTAAGGATTTCTTAATATTTGCAGATTTTTTAAAAATTCTATTTCATTAACATACTCCAATCATGATACAATTAACTATTTTCGCAAAAATGTATATATACATATATATATATATATATATATATATATATATATATATATACAGTATATATATATATATATATATATATATATATATAATTTCTTTACAAAACATTCCTGCATGAAGCCCAACGCCATCCCTTGAGTTCTTCACAGCGCCCTTCTTTACAACCCGCTTCCAGAATGTTCCCGGATCCAAATATCTGAATTCAAGATACCTAAATTCCTTCATAATACCATTTTCGCAACGACCCCCCTTGAAATTCCTCCTTCACAGCGCCCTCCATCATACCCTCCTTCCAGAATGTTCCCGGAGCTGACCGATGCCCAGGTCGCCGAGTACGAGGCGAGGGTCCGGACGTCGGCGGAGGAGGCTGGGTGGGTGGCGCAGGACTCCCCCCCTCTCTGCCACCTCCGCTTCGGCAGGAAGATGTGAAAAGGCGCCGGACGTGCTATTTTCTGATGCTTATGCTCATGAATATACACATAATTAACTAAAGGGAATGTAGAGGAAATATTTCGGACACGCGGATGATGGCCTCGTTTGGCGGTTTGTTGTTGTGCCTCTGATTCTCTTGTTCTCGGTTTGTGTCATTTTTTTAGGGAGATGTTTAATCTGTTTCGTACCATATTGTAAGATGCATAATGTGTACGTTGACTTCAAAAAAAAAAAAAAAAAAAAAATGGTTATGGTCTTCTGAAGGGTATTATATTAATTTGTGTTATTCCATTACCACCGTTACTGTTTATTAATCACATTATTATAAATGATCTTATTGCATTTGCTGTTATTATTTCTATCATCATCATCATCATCCCCACCTCCATCATCACCATCATTATCATCATCAGTGTCATCATCAATACTTCTAATAATGATGATAATTATTAATATTGATTTAAGGATCTGTTATTCCTAGTCAGCAAAATACTTATTTGGCAACAAGAGATTTCTTCACGTTTGAATAATCTTGCAGAATATAAAGTGCGGTTTTCGCTTCTCCGCTAATGGGGTTGTTCTGGTATTTTTTCCCACTAGCCTCAGTAATTACTTTCAAACTGTCCTTTTTAGAAGAAAAAGAGAAAATTCACTTGTACATTTCGCGTTAATTGCATTGCTGCTAATAAGAACGGTGATAATAATAATATTAATAAGGATACCAGTAATGGCAATAATAATGATAATTATTATCAATTCATTTATCATCAATATGATAATTACTATTATCAACAGAATCACCACTATGTATTTTTTCTATTTACTTCATCAGCACATGTATACAATGCACAACAAAAACTAGTCTGATCATTTTTCAATTAACCACATATTTGTTCCATCTACACAATTTTATTATCTAATAAGAATAACGTAGGTGGAAACATTCTCCAGATGCGTAGAAAAGAAAGACGAGGTAGTTGATATAATACATTTATTAGTCCCAAATTCTCTGTATACATGTGAGAGACAAGGATGTGAACAATTTTATATAAAGCGAGTGATTAGTGGCATGTGAGGGAGGGGGGGGCACATGGCCACCCTGGCACCCCCCATCACCGATTACTGTATATCCTTATATCTCTTAAAATGAAGACATTAATAAATAAACAACTAGATAAGTAGATGACCAGATAAATAAATAAACTTTTGTCTAGATCAAGTAAATAAATGAATAAGAATGAAGAAAACTGAAGTTCAGGTTTCTGGAAAATTAATATAGATAGTGAATAAAGAAATGTATTCTGTAATTCCTTCTATACGAATTTAATGATGAATTTCTTTTGCAAAATCTACACGGAAGAGGAAGAAAGTATTAACTTGAATACCCTTTACAACTTATGGATTTCAGAATGTGAAAAGAAAAATCATGTCAAAGAAGTGCTACTTTTGAGATGAAAGGAGACGTGAAGAAGTGAAGGATCAGGATAGGAATAGTAGTCGGGATTATGAATGGGTTTCTATTTATTCTTGTTTTGATGAATGAGGGTGTTGTATGCTGTGACGTCATAGAAATAAATTCTGACGTCATCGAACTCTCGAGCCAGTTAACAAATTGTCATGCTCTTATGGTGATGAGGATGATGGTGATTCTGATGATGAAGGGAGGAATGGAGGAAAGAAAAAAGAAAGAGGATACGTAGGGAAACGGGAAAAAATCAAAATAAGGGGGGGGCAAAATCAAAATAATGTGACCGAACAAACCAAAGAGGTGATAAAGACATCGAAATAGAGATGGTCACAAAAGTAATCAAAACGTTTACGATTTCTGTCCAAACCCTTACGATAAGCATCACTAGATTTTTTTTCACTGAAGTATCATGATTCTATGAATGATAGAAAGTGCGTAAAGGCATATATATATAACCATTAAGCGTAGCCAGCTGTTACATGACTCACCTCTTGCTGCTGAACTGAGAAATAGTGTGCAGTCTTCTAAGGGAATACGTATTACTTAAAAAGAATCAAGGACTACGTATTGTCTAAGGCTGTACTGGACACGTATTTCCTCTTCTCAGTAGTCTGGTGCTTCTGCTAGCGTCGCATTTAATTCTCATGACTGATCTATTGTTATCACAGAGTATCTGCCTGCGCAACCGAGTCTATTCATCACATGTTGAATCCCGACCTCCAGCATACCTGTTGGGTGTCTTAATTTTCCACAGGTGAGCTGCATTAAGAGCGAGAACCTGCTCTTTGACACTGACTCCCCTGGGGGTGAAGGGTTAGAAGAGGGTGCTGGCAACCTGATGTTGAGGGAGGGGCCAGGGGGGCGGGGGGCATGGGGCTGCTTATAAATATATCTTCACTCACACAACCTACAATAACTATCTGATATTCAAGTTACAATGGCCCATATACATATCGAATCTAATACACACGCATACCGATACAAGTATCTTGGTAACAACTGGTCGAGTTCATGTAGTAAAAAGAGGCAGCGACGCCTCGGTAACATATCTGTACATATCACCTTGATAGGCCAGACTGATCTATCACAGCCTAAATATCGGAGTGAATTGTCGTCCATCTCTGGCTAAGATGACGACGGGGTAAATCGCCACGTCGTCGTCGGGCAAAATAAACTGGTCTTTATCATGATTCACAATCGTGAAGTTTGGTTACGTCGTGTTGAGGTGCACGACACTGGCGTGCGCAGCGGGGGATGGGCGGCGGGGGATGGGCGGCGCTCCAGGGCGGGCGGTGGACGGAGGGACGGAGACATCACAGGCGTCCGGGCTGTGGGCGTGAAGGCTGGTGGGGCGGGCAGGTGGAGGACTTTCTCTTCTATATTCGCACTTCCACTTTCTTACGGCATCTCGCGGTGTCAGGCAGACATCGCGTGTTGCCCTCTACTCTTTGGTCTGACGTTGCGGGCTGCGATGTCAGCGCCATGACCTCCTGACGCTATGCACAACGCAGGAGCATCAGCAGCACCGCCGGATGTGGGAGCTGAAGGGGCCAGAGGGATACCGCAGCGAGGAGGAGAACACTATACGGTGCTGTCGAGAGGTAAGTGCTCCTTGATCAGCTGTGAAGGGAAAAGAGACAAGAATTAGCGACGGATCCTCCCTTCTAAAGCCGCACATGGTCAGGCACTCGAAACATGGGCTCGTCTCATCTATATTCACATCATCTATCAGTCTATCTATACTGACCACTCCGTAAGCAACATGACCTCTAAAAGAATGGTCCCTACCACTAAAAAACACTAAATGCAAATGCTAGAAACATACACTTCTATCACCTGATACCGACTAATACATTAATAGCAAAAATACAGATATCTTCCACATGATAACTATGAGTTGGCGACGAATGACAAAAGAGAAATTCCTTGTCAGAAGTAAGCGTAGTGAAATGGCCTCTGATGGAAGCTGCTGTCGATCCATCATCTGTTTTTATGCTGAGAATTGCTGATGACTCTGTTTAATTCCTGAGGAGCTGTTCAGCTGTTTGTTTCTTGGAAGTTTGTAGATGATCTACTCAATGAAATGTAATGTGGGTTATGTCTTTGAATAGTTCAGGATGACAGAGAAACTGATGTATTCGATAGTGCAACACTGTACGATGCACAGAGATAATGCACAAACAAAGACTTTCAGGAGACAATGTAGTAGGATATAAAATATGTGAGAACAAATCCAAATGATATCATTAATGGAAGGATAGCCGAGTAATGTAGGGATATAATGGGAAAAAGAGAGCAATCAAACATCATGGTCAGTGATCCAACATACCGAGGCTGTTGAACAATATGACCACTTGAATGATTTCGAAGGAAGACAAAGGTGGTGGGTAAGGACTAGTGTTGTTACGGTAAATACTGATGGATTTGAATTCTGCAATGATGTGTTGAGCGCTTAATAACATTACAATGAGGAATGAAGCTGACAGGGACATGAATGTATATATATATATATATATATATATATATATATATATATATATATATATATATATATATATATATATATATATATATATACAGTGTAAATACATTTAGTGAGCCATCCATGCCTGCGCAAATCATAAAATCCTGGATTCCTTTGACTCCTGTGAAAGCATCGTCCTCCGAGTTTATAGAGGGATCGAAGCCTTTCTCCGAGGATCGCTAACAGAAGCAAAGGAGCAAGAACCTGCCAGAATAAACCCGGCATTAAACTATGGTAAATTAATCTACAAAAACAAAAGAGCAAGCAGCAAGCTCAAGGGAAACAAAAGTATTCAAACTTATAGGAAAAGGATTAAAGGGTGTTGATTATAAGGAAAAAAAAAAAAAAATCAAAACCATGAACTGATGTTGACAAAGGTTTCCATAACTACGTCGCGGTGTATTTTGAAGGAAAACCAACAACTACGATACACTTTCATATTTTTGCGATGCCGAAAAGACAAAAACCTTGAATCTTGAGCGCAATGATAAGTGGTTATTTTATTATATTAAGAGGGCGAGTTGTCAGATGGATCCGATATATATTGTTTGTAAAATTTAGTTCTAAATCTATATACTCTACCTGTGCGAAAGTAAATAAAAAGAATTTCCATTATTAGCTTCGTACTTAAGCAATGATATCTTTCTTTGTATATTGCAAAATGTTTTTCTTTTAATTGAACATCAGTAAAACCTAAAAAAAAAAAACTATCCTCCTTTCTCACAACATCATCCCCCGACTGAGAACTCGCCGTCTATTCAGCTTTTAGAGCAAGCAACGACAGGATTAGTGTTCTGGTGAGTGATATCGATAGTTTGAGCTAAAAAAAAATTGGCGAGCAGGTGACAAGAACGGTTATGCAGGCGTGGACACCTTGATGAGTTTATCCCTGTACAACTTCTCGGACTCCCACCGCCTGACCGGCACGGGCTTTCCGTTCCTCCTAAGACATACGCGCAAGTCCGCCTCGTCAAAGATGCTGACAGGGTCGAGCTTGTGCGCATTGATCTTCTCCACCAAGTATTCCGTGTAGTGCAACCTGGGTGAGACAAGGAGAGGCTAGCCACCAGAGAGAAAAGGACCCCCGAAAAAAGAGGAAAAGGAGGGAAAAAAGGACCCTAAAAAAAAGAAGGGAAAAAGGAACGCCAAGGAGGGAGGGAAGGAGGGAAGAGAGGGACGTTTACCTGCAGGAGCTTCTGGCGGTAGGCATCCTTGGACTCCCACGGGATGCGCTTCGGTGCCGCCAGGTTCTCTCGGCGGATTACAAACCTCAGGTCTTCTTCGTCTAGAGTTTCTAGCGGGTCTATTTTATTCTTAAAAATCAACCAAGCCAAATACTCAACGAAGTGTATTCTGTAAAGAAGGAAGTCGGTCTTAGAGAGAATCATTTTCTTCTCCTTTGCGAAAGCTTCAAGCGAGCGAGAGAGTGAACCAGTGCACGAACTTTTCCTTCTTCACAAAGATACACAAGCGTTGGAGTAAGGCGTGCCAGGATGGCAGAAGAAGGATGAAATGAAGGATAAATTCGGAGGAAGGGCAGATACGGTGATAGATGAAGAATTAGAAAAAAATAATTACAGGAGCTGGGAGGAGAAGAAGAAGAAGATGAAGAGAGGGTGAGAGAGTGAGAGAGAGAAAGAGAGAAAGAAAGAGAGAGAGAAGAGAGAGAGAGAGAGAGAGAGAGAGAGAGAGAGAGAGAGAGAGAGAGAGAGAGAGAGAGAGAGAGAGAGAGAGAGAGAGAGGAGAGAGAGAGAGAGAGAGAGAGAGAGAGAGAGAGAGAGAGAGAGAGAGAGAGAGAGAGAGAGAGAGAGAGAGAGAGAGAGAGAGAGAGAGAGAGAAGAGAGAGAGAGAGAGAGAGAGAGAGAGAGAGAGAGAGAGAGAGAGGAGAGAGAGAGAGAGAGAGAGAGAGAGAGAGAGAGAGAGAGAGAGAGAGAGAGAGAGAGAGAGAGAGAGAGAGAGAGAGAGAGAGAGAAGAGAAAGAGAGAGAGAGAGAGAGAGAGAGAGAGAAGAGAGAGAGAGAGAGAAAGAGAGAGAGAGAGAGGAGAGAGAGAGAGAGAGAGAGAGAGAGAGAGAGAGAGAGAGAGAGAGAGAGAGAGAGAGAGAGAGAGAGAGAGAGAGAGAAGAGAGAGAGAGAGAGAGAGGAGAGAGAGAGAGAGAGAGAGAGAGGAGAGAGAAAGAGAGAGAGAAAGAGAGAGAGAAAGAGAGAGAGAGAGAGAGAGAGAGACGAGAGAGAGAGAGAGAGAGAGAGAGAGAGAGAGAGAGAGAGAGAGAGAGAGAGAGAGAGAGAGAGAGAGAGAGAGAGAGAGAGAGAGAGAGAGAGAGAGAGAGAGAGAGGACATACCACATAATTCTGCAACCTGTAAAATGTTTTTATTTTCTTTCTCTTTTGGGATAAGCATGAGTTTCCAGGAATAAAACATAGGGACGATGTATCTCGAAGTTTTGGTTCTGGAAAATAAACGTTATTGCTTTTGTTTTAAAGATACATGCTTGATTTATGCTATTAAGTTTTACACTGTTAAATACTTTAACATATACAGTTGTTATGCACTATGACAATAATGATTTTATAAAATGGGACACTACAGGGAATATGTACATAAATATATAATACTTACACACGCGCACCCACACACACACACACACACACACACACAACACACACACAAGCACACGCACATACACACACATATACTTATACATACATACATATATACATATATATATATATATATATATATATATATATATATATATATATATATATATATATATATATACCTATCTAGAGAGAGAGAGAGTCACCGGTAGATACAGAGGGAAAATTCTAACAAGGCAGACAAACAAATGATTACGATATTAACAAAAACAAACAAGCAAACCATTTTAGCTTTAATAAACATAATATATATTCAAATTATTCTCATGACATTGCAATCAACAGCAGTGACTCCAGAATTACAAGAAATTATTACAAAAGCTTTTCCATTGCCACTGAGTGCCGGAGAGCCTCACCTGCACAGCCCCGCGTAGCCGTTGGGCACAGTCCTCCCGCAGATGTCGTCCTTCAGGCCGTCGGGGAGTTCCTTCTGCTCCTGCACTTGGCACGACTTCCCGGGTTCCCACGTCTCAGGGGGCTCCGTGTCGTAGGTGATTCCCGCTTCCTGGTGGCGGTGAGGGTGGCGCAGGAGGTGGCAGAGATGGTGTTGGTTGGGTAATAAGGTTGTGAATAAAGGGGTAATTTTGTGAGGCTGGTTATTACTGTTGGTATCTTTGCTGAGGGCTTGGTTGGTGATATAGAATCATTATTGAAACTCAAGCGGAAACCAGTGTTATGATGATAACGAGTTGTACGTTAAACGCCGCAATGATAAGGGATTCTCGTTCTAATTATCGAATGCAACCCGAGAGAGAATTAAAAAATATTCTTCTTATCTCTACTTCTACTTTCAAGAACCCACTGAAAGGATAATACGCGTTTTCCCCTCCATACGAAGACTTACTTTGAGGAGATTCTGCAGTTGGTGAGGCTCCTTGTCGCGGAGGTAGAAGAGGCAGTTCCTCGGGTGGTGGGAATGGAGGCCCAGGCGCTCGCAGTACGGCCCTACGGGACACCTGCGTGGGGAGGAGGAGGGAGGTGATCGTTGAAAATCTTTGCGGTTGGTCGAAACAAAAACTAAGATTCGTATAGAAAGAAAAGAAGGTGACTACTATTGGGTACCGCTGTCAAAAATGTAGTTCCTTTGATAATTGTTGAAAACCTTTTACGCTGGTCGAAACAGAACTACGCTTTACTCATATTTAAGGTTGAGTAAAAAAGGAATATATGATTTGTATGAAATTTGTTCAAAAACCTTGAACCCGGTCGAAATAGACTAAGATTATATATTTTATTTGTTTTAATTAGGAGTTCTATTGGGTGTCGATTTTGAGTAAAAAATATGGTTTGATATGCTATTGAATACCTTTGAAGCTAGTCGAAGTAAAAACTAAGCTTTATGAACTTGTTTTCTTTGATTTTGGGTTTTATTGGGTATCGATGTTGTAAAATAATAGTTTTGAAGTCATCGTGTCAATGATAATTTTTCAATATGAATGAACAGACATTAGAGTAGAAATTTTGAATCAGTCTGTGAATAATACATGACTATAAGCAATCTCACTCTGCCATAGTAAGTAACCGACTTCCAAATCGACACTTATCACCAGGTCTAATTGAAGAAACTAAATGCAAAAATTATTCAGGGACTGAATTATGTTTCCTACGTTCGTTTACCAACTAGATTGCCATTTGCAAGGAGCACGTGTAAAATAGGTATAAAGCTTCCACAGACAATGATGAAACGTTTTAATTATAATCACCATTTTATCAAACACACTCAGCCCTCATGTAAAGGACATATTTCACAACCAAAAACGCCACGTCTAGACATCTTACTTGGAGCCCTGGCGGAATGGTTGGCCACAGCCTGAACAGAACTCGTACTTGCACTGCGTGCATGTGAAGTGCATGCAGCCGCCTTTGGCCAGCGCGTACGTGAATCTTTGAAAGAGGATGAAATATTGGGATTAGTAAAGATCTGGATTTCATCATGTGAATCAAAATGGAATCAAATTACCAATTATGAACTATACAAAACCAGTTTGGACTAAACAGAGAGGAATTCAGAGTTTAAGACACAACAGAAAGAAAGTTTTTAAGACGGAGACTCACTTGCACTTCGGGCAGGTGATCCCGCACTCTGCCAAGTGCTTAGCCACGCCCTGCGCCTGCGCCTCCAGGTCGTTGTCGTTCTTCCAGCGAGCGAACGCCTCGCAGCTGATTCCCTCGTGAGACGCCTCCCACTGAGGGCGAGGAAAGGAACTGGAGGTTAGCTATGGGTTAATATTGATCCCTTATGAATCGCCGCTAAATTGGAAACAAGTGGAGAAATGATTGCATATAGAGGAAAAACGGAGAAATGAAAAAGAAAAACATTAAACATACATGTACATTTCTGTGAGAAAGAACAACAGTACGTAAGGGAAAAGAGAGAGAAAAAATCCTTTTTAAAATGAGATATACATGCATGTCTGAGGGAAAAACAAACCCCCAACATAGAAAAAAAAGATATACATCTACAAATGTCTTCCATCAAGAGGACGTCGACTACTCCTTCGGCCACTCACCGGGGCGCGACAGGACGCACAGGTCACGTCCTTGCAGTCGGGGCAGATGAGCTTCCTGGCGCGAGGGTTGGCGATGAAGCCGGAAGAACACTGGAAGAGGAGGTGGACGGTTTATTACCTTCATCAAAGAGGTTGTTTTTGGTAGCGTTGGTTAGTTTGTTGGGTGGTTGGCTAGGAGGATAACTCAAAAAGTTATGAAAAGAGTTCTATGAAATTGACCATAGGTGAGTCTTCGCCCAACTTGGATGCGGATCTCTTCCTTTTCCCCCTCTTCCTCTCTGGATCCACCTTCTTAATCTAGTTGTGATTTCCTTCCAGCAAATGCCATTGTTAGGTTATATTTGCGTCTCTCCTCCTTCTACTCATTCCTCTTTCTTCTCTCATCCTCCTAATTCCCTTCCTCTCTCTTCCCTCTTTCTCTCCCTCCTTCATCACCACCACTCCCCCCTTCTCCTACTTTTCTCATCCCTCTTCCCCCACCTCCCTAGACTAATCCCCTCTTTCTCTCCCTCCTTCACCACCACCACCTCTCTTCCCTCCTCCTCCTATTCTTATTCTTCCTCCCCCCACCCTCCCCTCCCAAACTCAGCCCCCTCTCTTTCTCCCTCCTTCACCACAACCAACACTCCCCCCTCCTTATCCTTCCTTCTCCCACCTCCCTCCCCCATACTCACATCCACTTTCTCTCCCTCCTTCACCACCATCACTCTTCCCTCCTCCCCCTATTCTTATCCTTCCTCCCCCACCCTCCCCTCCCCCGGACTCACCTCCACTTTCTCTCCGTCCTTCACCACCACCACCACTCCCCCTTGCTCCTCCTTCTCTTCTCCCTCTTCCCCCACCCTCCCCTCCCCCAGACTCACCTTATTGCACCAGCGGAAGTTCGGGTCCTTCATGAGCGTCCAGTCCCGCAACTTCCTCTGGAACAGTTCATGCGTCTCCGAGTCCAGGATCGTCTTCAGAAGGATGTCCATGTTGTTCAGGTATTCATTGGCGATCTCCTGCGGGCGAGTGAACAAGGCCGTGATCTCGCTGAACATAACAGGGAGATCTTGCGTAGGAGAGTTTGGTGAACAGTGTGTGATGATATCGAAAGAACAAAAAGATTCTCTATCACTAACTCACTAACAAAGACATTCCTAATCACTAACGAAAGAACAAAATATTCCCAATCACTAAGTCACTAACAAAGACATTCCAATCACTAACGATTATTCCCAATCACTAAGTCAAACAAAACAAAAAGAAATATGTTAATAAGTTATTCGAGCTAAAAAGAATCTATATCTATATCTAAATCCAAGTATCTGTACAGATGTAACGCGATCTCTGTTCACATCTATATCCCCCCCCCCTCTCTCTCTCTCTCTCTCTCTTACACACACACACACCAACACACACACACATACACACACACACACACACACACACATATATATATATATATATATATATATATATATATATATATATATATATATATATATATATATATATATATACATTCAATGACTGCATCAAGAAGTTATACTCATAGGAAGGAAAAACTAACAAGTAACAAAAACAAATCTACTTTCCAAATCACTACTAAAAAGGATAATATATTCTCAATCACTAACGAAAGCACAAAAATATCCCCAATCACTCGGTCAGCACCAAAGAGCTTCCCAATCACTAACTCCCTAACAAAGGCATCCCCAATCCCTAAAGGAAACCGAGGGGCATTACCTCGCAGGCATCTAAATCAGGTTCGTTACAGAAGGGGCACCTGAGGTCGCGGATGTTCTTGGTCTTGATCTGGAAAGTGTAGTAGGTCTTGGCACACTCGCAGCAGCACCGGTGGGTACACTGCAGCATAGACACCATCTGCCGGTACGTAAATACACGTGTGGATTTATGTGGTCACTTTATTTGTCTTTTTCTTTTCTTTGCGCTTGTTTGAGAAATTTTGATGCATTCAAATTGTTGGTTTGTATTGGATTTACTGCTTTTGTTTTGTTGTCTGTCAAATGATGTAGTCGAGTCGGTTGTAAGAGGCTTCAGAAACAATAAAATTTGTTCCGTTGTGAATCATTCAGATCATTTAAACTAATCCTATTTTAGGCCGAGAACGAAAAAAATATGACACAAAGAAAATATAACGGAAAGAGGGTAGAAGCCACAGCACCTTCCCCATAGGATACTTCTCGGCGCACAGCTCGCACTCCTGCTGGAGGAACTGCAGGGCCGTGTAGATCGAAGAGCACTCCTCGGCGGCCTGCAGGGAGTTGGCCTCGTCGAAGCTGAAGTTCATGAGGTGCGCCGCCAGCTCCGCCTTCTCGTAGCTGCCGGCGTGCCCCTCGGCGAGCAACCGACGCACCGTTCTCTGCAGCAGGAAGGGGTGACGGTGAAAGGGGGTACATGTTGCTATATACATACATGTATATACTTTGTTATACTAACGAATTGGCTATGATATGCCTTAGCTGTGATATCACAGGCATCCCATATACATATACATCTCTCCCTCTCTTTCGTTCGCTCTCTCTCGCTCTATCTATCTATATATATACATATGTAAATATTTATATACACAAACAAAGTAAGTATCATGACTCACATCGAAGTTGAGCTGCTCCTCCTCGGGGCTGGTCGTCTTGGTCTGCTCCTCCGCCGCCTCCAAGGGTCCTGTCAGCGGCCCGGGCGGCGGATGCTCGTCCTTGGGCGTCTCGGGCGTGTCTGGCCGTTTCCCTTCCTCCTCCATCTTGGCCTCCAGCTGCTTCCTCATCTGCTGGATCTGCTCCTTCAGCTCTCTCACCTCCTGGTAGTCAGACTCCTTCTTTTGCCGGGCCTTCAGACCCTCGATCTGGCGGGTGAGAGTGGGAGTCTGAGGGCGTGAGGGATGCGCCGAGAGGGCAGGAGAGGACAGGAGAGGTCGGCGAAAGGAAGAGCAGAAGAGGTCATCAAAGGGTCACCGAAAGGTCAGCGGAGAGCACAGGAGAAGTCAGAAGAAATTGGCGAAGAAGGAAAGCGAATGAGCGAATGCCAGCGAGAATCCGCAAGATCCCGAAGGATCATTAGTGTAAAGGCAAGAGTAGAAAAGTCTGAGAGCTGAAGGACACGTGAAATAAATGTAACAGAAAAGAAACGAATTATTTTTGTTCCATTTACGAATCTATGGATATACTTGAAAAGGAAAGGACTGGGTTTAAGGATTCTCTAAAGGATTTACATACACACCCACTGTCGTCAGCCATATTTCCCCGTGTTTCCTATACCTCGTATATATCTCTATGTTCGTCATTTCTAAATCCTCTCACTCTTTGGAACCCCCATGCTCTTTTCGTCTGTCTCTGCCTCTATTCTACATCTGTTTATGTTCATGTTTATATATCCCCTTGCTTATATGTTCTCTCATTTAATTTTCTCTCTTTCTTTCTTACTTCATTTTTACCTCTATCATCTCTATCCCCTACGTTCATTCTGCCTCGTCTCTGGCTACATGTCTGTATCTTTTTGGATATCTGTTTTTCTTATCTTTCTTTTTAATTATCCATATATTTTCTCTCTTGCTTGCCAGTCTGTCCTTGTCTCTCTCTGTCTACCTGTCTGTCTCTGTCTCTCTCTCTGTCTACCTGTCTGTCTCTGTCAGTCAGTCTGCCTGTCTGTCTGTCTCTCTATCTGCCCCCTCTCTCTCTCGCTCCCATTCTCTCAAATAAACTCAAAAGCAGGAAAAGACAAAACGTTTCTTGGATATACACTGTCTTTCATATCTGAATCGCAAGATGACAGTGCCCTATATACAATAAATACAAACAAAAACACGAACAATAAAACTGCAACAAAAACAAAAAAACGATTATAGGATGTGTAGCATGTGTACGAACCTGGTGAATCAGTTGAGGAAGCTACACCGTGCAAGGAGGGAAAAAAAGAAAAAAATATGGTGAATATGTGAGCTTTTGAACATGTGCGAAACAGATAAACAAATAAAAAGGGAAAATCAATATAAAAATATAGGAGAAAATGAGATGGGCAATGAAGATGAAATAGATTTTGAATATTTAAAAAAATACTGTATGGTCTACATATCAAATCACAAAGATGAAAATGGAAATAAACAGAGGAAAAACAAAAACAAAAATGTCGTATAATCGACACATTAAATTGCAAAAAGAAGAAAAAAGTAAAAAAAAAAAATAAAAAATAATAAAAAATAAAAAATAAAAAAAATAATAAAAAATAATGGTGGATCATTGTGGGTTAGCGAAAAGGGCAGAGACAACACTGAACCAAAACGAAACACTCCACACAGCCCGCAACTGAAAATATACCGGAGCCAAAATGTCTACTTCATATAGATATACATATATTTTTTTTACACAACTCTACCACGAGTCTAGAATCGCGTTGGAAGTCCTCTAGAACACCTACTGTGCTCCGTGAATCTGCGAAGAAGCGGTTTACATCACTCTCATTAGCTTACCTGTCCCTCGGTCGTTGTACTCGAGGTCACAGATCAACGGTATTTTGGTCACTCATAAGACTGCAAACAACTACAGCAGATGCTACAGACGCCTAGTGATAACAACTTTTACTTCTGCATTTGAATACAATCTTGGGCATTTGGAATTGCTATCTTTACAGCAAGGAAGAAATACTGGAGAATATACGATAGAGAACACTGTGATTTTATGCCTACTGCGTATTGGTGGCAAAGAGTAGTACTTCTCTGCAAGTGACAATGCTGTTCGACTACGGAAAAGCTATGACTTTATTGCGATCTATTCTTATTCAATTTAAACCTAAGAATTTGAAGGAAGAAACATAATAATAAGAAAGTGCATGCATGGCGATAGTCACTCGTTAGACAAGCCATCGAATCTGCTCTCGTGTAAGATAACTCGACTCATAAAAGAACTTAACAAGTTAATATTGAAAAAAAAAGATAAAAACGGTTTACATTTGAATGAATTAAAGACATGAGGCGATAAGACCCTTGAGGCACAAAAAGTAAAGAAAAGAAAAAAATGTGGTTTGAACTGAAAGCAGACGCGGGGTTTGTCTCTGGGTTACTGGAGGGCGAAGCTATGAGAAGCATTAAGGCCGTGTTACCTGGACCAAGAGATGAGGGATCTTTGAGGGATCCTCCTCGCTCACCCTCGACGGACGGTCATCGTCTTCAGAGTCTCCCGACGACTCCGAGACCCTCGCCCTCGACCTTGTTCTCGTCGAAGAGGTCGTCGAGGCAGTGGCAGCGGCGTAGTCGGAGGAGGACTGGTTGGTCGTCGATGATGGTCCTGCGTCGTCTGCGCCGGCGGCCGTTCCGGGTCTCCTGCGGCGGGTGTATGTCCCTGCGGCAGTGGAGGCGGCTCCTTCCGCAGGCTGAGAAGAGTCTGCCGCCTCCTCCTTGGTCTTGGACGACACGATTTCTATCATGGAATAAGGCTTACTGTCTGATAACCTGGTCCGTCGGCGTCCGCCCGCGGCCTTGGTAGTCGCGGCTTCTGCTGGCGTCTCGGTTGGTGTAGGCGGCACTGGACTGGACGCAGACGGTGACGCTTCGGCCTCAGCTTGTGCCGGTGAAGGCTCCGCAGGCGACGCTGAGGCCGTCGTTTCGGGCGGAGGCGGTGCAGTGTCGGCTGGAGCCTGAGGGGGCGGTGCGGACGATAACGCCGACGACGCAGGCGCAGAAGGTTCACTTTGGTCTGCTCTGGAGGCTCCTAGACAAAGAGTATCCTCGTCAGGGGTTGGTGTCTCGTGGGTCAAGGAAGAAACTTCAAGGTCATAACTATAATGCTCAAAATATGGAAATCGAGGAGAAAGCTTGAATTAGCTGGATCTCATGCACTTAATGAAGTATTTAATGGCGGGCGGTAGTCAAGTCTATGATTAGATCTAACTATTAGAAATTTAGATTAGAAATCAAAACAAAAAGGTATTTATCTATCTATATTATAAACAAAATGTAAATATTCAGCCAACGCCAAAGTTGCGGTGTTTAAAGAAGCATTAGGGCCAGGAAGTGGCAGAGAAGAGTGAGCTGGTGTGAGGAGCAAGAATGTCATGCCGGCGTGACGTCATGCAGGTCGTCCGCCTTTACTGACTTCTGCCACGACCCCCACCTGCCTCGCCGCCCTCACCCTGACCACGACCACGTCGGCGCCTTCGTCGGCGCCTGCGTGAGGGTGTAGTGGTGGAAGGTTCACTCCCAGCTTCGGTCTTTGCCTGAGAGGAAGGGTCGATGCCTGATTTCAGGACGACCTCCTCGTAATAGATACCTTCGTCGTCGTTGTCGCCCGCGTCTTGGGCTTCGTTTGTGATGAGGGCATTGAGCTTCCCCATCGTGACCTCGCTGGTGTCGCGCAAACTGTCCAGCTCTCGCTTGACCTCGTACATGGTCTCGTAATCGTCGGGGGCAATCTTGACCGGCGGAGCCTCGGCGGGGGCGTCCTCTGCTCCGGCGGCGGCGTTGTAGTAGTTGTACTTCGGGTCGTTGTAGTAGTTGTGCGGCGCCTCGGAAACGCTCTCGTCGGCCCGCTCAGGGATGCTGGCGGGGCGTCCGGCCTCCGAGGGGGCGCCGCCCTTCTCGTCCGACGCAGCCTTGGCGGTGCTGGAGGGGGTCGGCCGTGGGGAGGCAGTACCAGCGGCTGCCACGCCGCGGCCGACGGCGTTCAGGTGGACGACGTCCGTTGGGTTGAAGGGAAGGAACAGATCTAGAAGAGAAAGCGCCATGGCCAGAGCAAGAAGCGGGTTATTTGGGCTCTACGGTCATCCTGGACACCGTGGGGGAGCGAGACCAGCACAGCTTCGCGTAGGCAATGCAACAGCGGAAGGTCAGCAAAGCGTGATATTAGATCTGCGTGTTGCCGACAAAGCAGCGGAAGGCTCGCACGTGAGTGAAGCTGATGCCGGGTTCGAAGACATACACAATAGTGAATAAGACATGTGAGTGTGGAAATCATATACCCAAATATGAGTACTTTGTCAGCAGAACTCATTATGTAAGACCTTAGGACACGCCCCATCAATGACCTGTGTGGCTGGTCTCGCAAACCTTTTTTGGTGTCGACGAATTCAACGCATGTAAAACTGAATACTATATTGTGAGACGAGAGAAAAGATAAGAAAAAAAAAAAAAAAGATCGGAAAGCGTACATAGGCTAGCACGAACGCAGCATGAGGACGCTCGTGTTAGCAAGAAGCTCACTTTACAGCTGGGAAATGGAAGCAGAGCGTCGCTTAAATAAAAGATCTACCGATACCATTAAAAGTCCCTGCTGTCCTATTACAGTAGTGACTGTTTACTTGCAGATGAACATTATTTACTCTACTCGCCCTGTATACTCTTCTGACCTGAGTTTCTACTTACTCTTGGACGCTGATCTGGAGATGATCCGACCCGATTCAGTCATTTCACTGATTTCCTCTGAAACAGAAAGGACAAATATATTGGGAGATTGAGAGGGAGATAACATTATAGAAATGTGAATAAGGAAGAATTGAACTTAAAAAACAATGGGCTTAAAAAAATAAGGGAAAATAAAAATTAACAGATGAAAATAAAACGTATCATTGGAATTCACTAATCAAAGCATATTAAGATTACAGAAAAATCATCCATATTCATCACACTTTCACTGCGTTGGGAAAGATTACCTTCTTCAGGGATGGTGTCTAGCGTGCGCAGGTGATCGTCATCTTCAGAATCGGTAATCGGAGCTGTAATGTGAAAACTATATTAATAGATATCTTCCTTCATCTTCTTTCAATATAAATAAACGGTACTCTCAATATCGTTACCATTCATTCCAAACTTCCTACAAAGAACATTTCATAAACACATCATCAGCTATTGACATGTATATGATGACAGAGGAAGGTGACATGATCTAGGCGGACGAGACATTCTCCACAGTGTTTCTCACGACCCAACAAGGACGACGCACCCTGGCCAACAGTTTCCTCCTCCTCTTCCGACGGCTCAGGCGTGACCATGGGGGCGTCCTGGCCGATCTCAGGCGTCACCGACCTGCTGAGCGACTCCCTGACGGAGGTCTCGCGCGCCATGGCCTTCGCGATGGCCTTGCCCACGATGGCGGTGGCCTTCTGCATGGTGACGGGGCCCGGGCGCGTCTGGGCCATCCCGGGCTCCTCGAACCTCGACACCTCGCCCGGCTTTTTGTCACTCCGCTCTGAGGACGGGGAGCCGAAGCCTGCGTTAGCTCTCTTTGAATGGCCTCGCACTTGGTAGGGGAAAGAATACTGAAGTCAGTTATACTTTAAGCAAGAGGGGGATTTGAAAAAAAGAATATGGGGATGTTTTAGAGAGTGATGCAAAAGCTGAGAGAACAGAGAATTAGCACAGTTAGCGTCATGCCCAAGGAGGAGGGTGGGGCGATGCGTGTGGGCGTGTGATGACACTGTGGGAGTGTTAGTGCGGACATGGGACCAGCCTACACTTCCAGATATCACCACAGTTACCTGGCGTCCTAACCCCTTCTTCCAACGATCCGTCCGTCTCTAAAGGATTACTGACACATGTTTCCGTGTTGTCCTCGTCCTCGTCACCCAGCGCCCCCTTCCCCAGCGCCGCCTCGTGCTCGGACGCCGCGACCTGCTCCGTCTGGACCAGCTCCGACTTCACATTGACTCCATCGGAGCTGAAGGAGAGATTCAGTCTGCCGGTGGTGATGCTGACCGAGTCCTCTTCGTCGCTCTCGTCGTAGTCGCCGAGCAGGAGCGAGTTCCTGACGGAGGAGGGGGCAGATCGGCTCTCCGGACGGGGGGCGCGGGAGTCGGGGGGGTGGAGAGGGTCCTCCTGCTTTGCCTGGCCGCTTGAGATGGACTCGTACGCGTTAGAGAACCGGAGATCCGGCTCGGATTTATGGGAGTCGAACGGCTTGGCTGGGGCTTTGGGGGAGGGCTCGGGCTTCCTCGAGGAGAGCGTCACGTGAAGAGTGCTCGAGTACTTGCGATAATTCTTCTTGGGCCGGGCATCCGGGGCGGCAGACTCACTGAGTGCGTGAGTCCCTGAGGTCGGAACCTCACGGGGGGCCTCGCCCGCACGCGGCCTGGCTTCAGCGGCGCCGCGGGGAGAGGAGGGCGTGTGAGCTAGAGCGTCTGGGTGAGGTGGAAGAGCCTCGTGAGGCAGCGGGCTAATAGCATCTGGGTTATGAGGATCTTCTGAGAATTCGGAAATAGACAGATCTGCGTAGTGAGTGAATGCCTTGAGAGGATGCACCACCACATCTGGGGAGGACAGATGTTCCCTCCGTTAGCAACTATCCCAAGTGAGAGAGACTTTCCACAGCGAAAATTTTGTCTCGTGAATAAAACAAAAAGAGACAGGGCGAAATATGAAGATTTGGGTGACGCAGAGGGCAAAGAACTACAATCTGTGCTTAGGACGTGGCTTAGTATGCGCCAGCGTTGTGAGTTACACAGAAAAAAATGTTGCCGACAGAGAAGCGTGACCAGAAACAAAGCGTCTTTGAACCAGAGAAGCAACTACGTTTCGAAAATTTGCTGTCACAAATCCTCGACAAGAACTTTATTCTGTAAAAAATATAACTGGTTTCCAAAATTAAAGTGATTAAAAAAACAAGCT